GAAAGATTGGCCATGACCACTTGCATAGGAGCAGTTCAACAGTTGGCAATACATTATTTTGGGAGAGGGAATGGCTGTCTAAGCTAGTTTGACTTTTTTCATTTTATAACAAGGTTCATCAAATGGGTCCTTTACGAAAATAAAATGAATGACAAAATTTTGCAATTGTAAATGGATTCCCTTTGTTTACAGTCAGTGGTTATTAAAAATCCTAAATAATACTTATCAGTTTTGGCCAGTAAAAAATGTTGGTTTTGGTGAGGAAAAACAAAGCTCTTAATAGTGTCTAAACTATTTACAGTTAACAAAAAAAAGGTCTCGAAGGCTTGGGTGGGAACCTCTCTTTCCCCCCATCCTTTAACTTTTTGACTCAGAGGAGAAATCAAAAGGTATCTTCACAGCCTTTTATATAAACAGGTGTTGATTGTAATCATCACATTGGGTCATAGTATGTGACCTATGATTTTGTGTTTCACCATTGAGTTCCTTGAAGTAAGGGTTTGTATAGCCCCTAACTACAAATATTCAAAGCTCTGAGGTTTGGCTCCTCTTTGGGACTCAAAAAGGTAAGGGTATGATATGTTTCCACTCAAGGTGTGGAGACTGAAGAAGAAATTTTAGTTGCCAGCAAGAAAATTTAAGTCGCACTGGTACTCATGTCTATTGCAATCTAGACCCCTGACTCTACCGATTACTGTTCACAAGTAGGAATACATTGAAACCTCTATATTTAAATTTCAGAGACTGGAAAAAATAATATTTAGTGGTCACTTGGAACTCATCTTGTGAAGCTAATTCTGAACCCTAGTTAAGGTGTGAAGGAGATATGGTCTTTATATCATGTAAAATTCTTAAAAATAACGGAAAATAAAAGCTGGGTCATCTGCACATTGATTCCACTCCATATGGCAGATAACTAAAGTATTTAACATATTTTACAAACCAGCCATTACTGTAACTCTGTTGTCAACCTGTTCCGAGAAATTATCTGATTTGAAAAGTTCCATCACAAGACCCTTTTCCCATGCTTTGCTTTCAGTCATCTTTTGATTCAATAACAGCACTGACAATCCCTGCAAGAAACAGAGCTGATTGAAAAAGAGTTGTAGTGTACAATAAGTAAATAAATAACCTTATTGTCTGCCTTCACTCCAAGAGCTTCACTGTTCTATGTATCTTGAACTTAGAAAAAGAGAATCAAAATGAGATAATAGTTTCCAGTGAGGCTTTAAGCTACTGTAAAAATAAAAAATTGGTGTCTAAGTTTCGTTTACCTTTGCAAGCGTAGGTCTTAGCGGCTACAGTGTTAAGCTAAAACTCTGCTGAACAAGAAACTTAAGATCGACGAAGGTGAAGAAAACAGCCATACAAAATTTAGCGAAATCTACTTGATTTAAACTCAATTATGTATTCTTCACATGTAAAGCATGTTATAATGTTCATGTCTGGTTCAATCACGTCGCTTGACTGTTGATAAATCGCAAATAGTGTCACTGGAATAGTCCGTCAAATTGATAATAATCTGATAATCACCCGACTGGGAAACTCGTTACTAGTGCTCCTCGGGCGTACCCCCAGCCGGTAGGAATTGTCGTAGTGCAGTTCGAGGTGCTAATTAATAGCCTCTCTCGTCTGCCGCCAGAAATCATCTTCCCAGCTTTTCAGCTATTCGAATTGAAAGTAATTTTTTTCTCTTCCATTGGAAACATGCCTCATTACGACGAAGGAGAATCGTCCAGCAGCGAAAGTACAACACCAGAAGAGGTAAAAGTTACTGAATGGCTCATTTTAGGGGCAAATTTACAGGAATTGAGCTTAGAGTCAGCTGATTTCACGAGTAAATGTTCTCAAGTCACGCCAATTCTTTCGTGCATGCAAACTAAGCCAGGTGCATTTCAGCTGGATGTATCCAGTACACTTCTATTGATTTAAGTGCTTAAGTTTTTTCGATCTTATCCAGGTAAGAATGGTTAATTTGGATTGAGACTATAATCCACAAGACCCGAAATTTACGCAGCTGAAAAAAGCTTTGAGAGGCCAAGGAGCGAAGAAAGTCTTTGTTTCTATCAAAACTTCCGTACGTGCATATTTGCCTTGTATAACATTAGTAACATAAACTTTTGTCGTGTTGCCATAATCAATTAAAAAAAAATTTCCCCTTATTTTTTTATTTCAATCATTTTTTGGAAAAGTTTAAATTGATGCAAAGCAGATCAATAAAATATCTGAGGAAAGGTATGAAATGCTTTAGTTTAGTTAATTAATAAAAGTTTGTAAAATTTCTTGTTAATTTTCTTTTATCTGAGGAGTTGTGAAATAGGAAATGATGAACTTGGCTTTCTTCAAGTAAAAGAGAATAGTCATGGTAACAATGTTATGGTATTAATTAGATATTCAGGATCTCTGATTGTCTTTTTGTGGTTTTTAGAAAAGAGACAAGGCCACAAGGTTCAATTACCTGCTGAAACCAACAGAGATCTTTGCTCATTTCATGAACACAATGAGATCAAAGAAACAGTCAACAAGTCCATTGAAAATGAAGGCACCTCAGTTTCCAAGCAGATCAAGGAAGTTGTCTGACTGTGGGGAGTAAGTATTTGATTGAAAATGGGCTATATGAAACATGCTTCTGCTTTTCACAACAGATTTGCAGGGCTTGTAAATAATTTTGAAAGTTGAAGAATCTTAAGATAACTGGTATATAATTAACTGAAAACTTTCTAGCTAACACTAGCTTGAATGAGTTCTAAGGGATTGAATTCCTCTCAACTGCAGAGTTTGGGAGAGTTTATCTAAATTTCAAACTTATTTAATGTTTTAGTCATCAGCATCGATGCATAGAGCAAGAAGAAGATGAACTGATCAGCCAAAATAAACACTCACAGATATCAGAGATTCACTTTGATCAGAATCCACAGTGTAAGTGAAATTTTCCTGATGGATAAGGAGACATAACATATTTTTTTGGTTACAAGGAGCACTTAGGCAATTTCCATATCATGTTCAGCTGTACTTTAACACAATTTTTCAAAATGCTGTAATTACAGACATTCAAGCCTTTAAACAAGAACAAAAAACTTGCTTGTATTTGCTTAAGAACAAGAGCAAAAAAAATCACATATTAGAGTGAGTAGATCAGTAACAAGTTCAAAGACTGAATAGAAGCATAAAAGTAAAAGGGTTTTTTCAGAGCTACTCTGGTTCTTTTACTCCCAAGATCTCATTAGTAATTCTCTTTATTGTCTGCCAAATGATTCTCATTATGTTAGCTTGGAGAATTTGGTATTGGATCATTGGGTAATTCCATAATTGATATTTTTCTTTATTCTCATCACTTGCCTGCATGATATTTTATAGATATAGTAAGGAGAAATTTTGTCTTGGTCACTCACGGGACTTAAAATTCTATTACCAACATGTTTTGTCTCTAGAATTCCTGTGCTGTGAAATGTTGCAGTAATTAACTCAAAGGCTTTGTATTTTCTGGTAGACATCAAGAATGGAGAAATGAGAGATTATAAGTTAAGAGGTCTTAACTGGCTTATCTCACTGTTAGAGAATGGAATCAATGGAATTTTGGCTGATGAGATGGTGAGAAAATTGTTAACATCACTTTTTTTCTGAGTGTCCTGAGTTCCCATGAGGAATTTGTTAGGACAATCTCTGATGGATAATATTGTGCCTTTCTTATTGCTAAAAAAAAAAAGCAAAATAAGCTCTTGGGCTAATTCACCAGCAGGCTTTAAAGACATTAACTAATTTTTTTTTTATTGTAACAGGGTCTTGGTAAGACTTTGCAGACCATTTCCTTGCTTGGGTACATGAAGCATTTCAGAGAAATGGCAGGTCCTCTTCTTGTTATTTTGCCAAAGTCCACATTAGCTGACTGGAAGTCTGAATTTGAAAGGTGGTGTCCAACTATCTGAGCTGTTTGTCTCACTGGCAATCAAGAGCAAAGAGTGAGTTAAACATGTCTGTGTTCTTCAGGAACAAATTTAGAGTAGGTAGCAAATTGTCAAAAAAAAAAAAAAATGGAAAGTAAATCAAGACCTTGCCAAGCTAGGTTTGGGTGAAGGACTGGGAAGTGTATGGCATCCCCCCCTTTCCTTATCCACCCAAGGTCTGGAACATCTCAAAATTTTTAATATTAGTTTGCACTTAGTCTTTGTACTGTTTTCTATACATTTCCTAACATGCTGATAATGAGAATTTGTGTAACAATCCAGAGCTTCTTTAGTTGGTGATTGTTTCCTTTATTCTTGTCACCTTTATTAGTGATTTCAGTGGATGATATTGTAAGGAGAAAGTAGATATTAGTCACTCTTAGTGGTCAAAGGGCTAAGTTAGTGTACTTTTGTATATTTTTAGGCAGCATTTATTTGAGGCACCATGCTCCCTGGAGAGTGGTACACTTGTATAACATCTTATGAAATGGTGATAAGAGAGAAAGTGGTGTTTAATAAGTTTGCCTGGAGGTATATCATCATTGATGAGGCACACAGAATTAAGAATGAGAAGTCTAAGGTATGTATCTACCAAGTATGGTTGCCACATTTTACTTCTGTGGTTTAACATTTTGTGGTTGTGCTCTGGTGAATTATCACTATGTTTCTCATCTTGTTTCCAGCTCTCAGAAATTGTGCGAGAACTCCGTTCCTCAAATCGGTTGCTCCTGACAGTAACTCCTTTGCAGAACAATCTTCATGAGCTGTGGTTGTTGCTGAACTTTCTATTGCCAGATGTTTTTAGCTCGCCTGATGTAAGTTGCTCCTGTATAATAAGACTAAATGTATTAGGGCACTTGAATGATTTATTTTTGTGAGACTAGTCACTTATGCTGCTCAGAACAAAGAAAAATTTTAGAAGGAGCTTACAAGTACTTGAAAT